GACAGATACTACAGCAGTGATAGTACATGCTGACAGATACTACAGCAGTGATAGTACATGCTGACAGACACTACAGTAGTGATAATACATGCTGACAGATACTACAGCAGTGATAGTACATGCTGACAGGCACTACAGTAGTGATAGTACATGCTGACAGACACTACAGTAGTGATAGTACATGCTGACAGATACTACAGCAGTGATAGTACATGCTGACAGATACTACAGCAGTGATAGTAAATGCTGACAGACACTACAGTAGTGATAGTACATGCTGACAGATACTACAGCAGTGATAGTACATGCTGACAGACACTACAGTAGTGATAATACATGCTGACAGATACTACAGCAGTGATAGTACATGCTGACAGATACTACAGCAGTGATAGTACATGCTGACAAATACTACAGCAGTGATAGTATATGCTGACAGACACTACAGTAGTGATAATACATGCTGACAGATACTACAGCAGTGATAGTACATGCTGACAGATACTACAGCAGTGATAGTACATGCTGACAGACACCACAGTAGTGATAGTACATGCTGACAGATACTACAGCAGTGATAGTACATGCTGACAGACACTACAGTAGTGATAGTACATGCTGACAGATACTACAGTAGTGATAATACATGCTGACTAACAGACACTACAGCAGTGATAGTACATGCTGACAGACACTATGGCAGTGATAGTACATGCTGACAGACACTACAGTAGTGATAGTACATGCTGACAGACACTACAGCAGTGATAGTACATGCTGACAGGCACTACAGCAGTGATAGTACATGCTGACAGACACTATGGCAGTGATAGTACATGCTGACAGACACTACAGTAGTGATAGTACATGCTGACAGACACTACAGCAGTGATAGTACATGCTGACAGGCACTACAACAGTGATAGTACATGCTGACAGACACTACAGCAGTGATAGTACATGCTGACAGACACTATAGCAGCGATAGTACATGCTGACAGACACTACAGTAGTGATAGTACATGCTGACAGATACTACAGTAGTGATAGTACATGCTGACAGATACTACTGCAGTGATAGTACATGCTGACAGACACTACAGTAGTGATAGTACATGCTGACAGACACTACAGCAGTGATAGTACATGCTGACAGGTACTACAGTAGTGATAGTACATGCTGACAGACACTACAACAGTGATAGTACATGCTGACAGACATTACAGTAGTGATAGTACATGCTGACAGACACTACAGCAGTGATAGTACATGCTGACAGGCACTACAACAGTGATAGTACATGCTGACAGACACTACAGCAGTGACAGTACATGCTGACAGGTACTACAGTAGTGATAGTACATGCTGACAGACACTACAACAGTGATAGTACATGCTGACAGACACTACAGTAGTGATAGTACATGCTGACAGACACTACAGCAGTGATAGTACATGCTGACAGGCACTACAACAGTGATAGTACATGCTGACAGACACTACAGCAGTGATAGTACATGCTGAGAGATACTACAGTAGTGATAGTACATGCTGACAGATACTACAGCAGTGATAGTACATGCTGACAGACACTACAGTAGTGATAGTACATGCTGACAGACACTACAGCAGTGATAGTACATGCTGACAGATACTACAGCAGTGATAGTACATGCTGACAGATACTACAGTAGTGATAGTACATGCTGACAGATACTACAGTAGTGATAGTACATGCTGACAGACACTACAGCAGTGATAGTACATGCTGACAGACACTACAGTAGTGATAGTACGTGCTGACAGATACTACAGTAGTGATAGTACATGCTGACAGATACTACAGCAGTGATAGTACATGCTGACAGATACTACAGCAGTGATAGTACATGCTGACAGACACTACAGTAGTGATAGTACATGCTGACAGACACTACAAAAATGCAACACTAGAACGCTACATGCTGAAAGACAGTAACTGTCAGCAACAGTGTCAGCAACAGTATCAGCAACAGTGTCAGCAACAGTATCAACAACAGTGTCAGAAACAATGTCAGCACCAGTGTCAGCAAAACAATCAGCGAAGTATCAGCAACAGTGTCAGCAACAGTGTCAGCAACAGTATCAGCAGCAGTGTCAGTAACAGTGTCAGCAACAGTGTCAGCAACAGCGCCAGCAACAGCATCAGCAACAGTGTCAGCAACAGTGTCAGCAACAGTGTCAACAACAGCAACAGTGTCAGTAACAGTGTCAGCAACAGTGTCAGCAACAGCGTCAGCAACATCATCAACAAAATATCAGCAACAGTGTCAGCAACAGTGTCAGTAGCAGTATCAGCAACAGTGTCATCAACAGTATCAGAAACAGTGTCATCAACAGTATCAGCAACAGTGTCAGCAACAGCATCAACAACAGTATCAGCAACAGTGTCATCAACAGTATCAGAAACAGTGTCAGCAACAGTGTCATCAACAGTGTCATCAACAGTATCAGAAACAGTGTCAGCAACAGTGTCATCAACAGTATCAGCAACAGTGTCAGCAACAGCATCAACAACAGTGTCAGCAACAGTGTCAGTAGCAGTATCAACAACATTGTCATCAACAGTATCAGCAACAGTGTCAGCAACAGTGCCATCAACAGTATCAGAAACAGTGCCATCAACAGTATCAGAAACAGTGCCATCAACAGTATCAGCAACAGTGTCATCAACAGTGTCAGCAACAGTGTCATCAACAGTATCAGCAACAGTGTCAGCAACAGTGTCAGCAACAGTGTCATCAACAGTATCAGCAACAGTGTCATCAACAGTATCAGAAACAGTGTCATCAACAGTATCAGCAACAGTGTCATCAACAGTATCAGCAACAGTGTCATCAACAGTGTCAGCAACAGCATCAACAACAGTATCAGCAACAGTGTCATCAACAGTATCAGCAACAGTGTCATCAACAGTATCAGCAACAGTGTCAGCAACAGTGTTATCAACAGTATCAGCAACAGTGTCAGCAACAGTGTCAGCAACAGTGTCAGCAACAGTATCAGCAACAGTGTTATCAACAGTATCAGCAACAGTGTCATCAACAGTATCAGCAACACTGTCAGCAACAGTATCAGCAACAGTGTCAGCAACAGTGTCAGCAACAGTGTTATCAACAGTATCAGCAACAGTGTCAGCAACAGTGTCAGCAACAGTGTTATCAACAGTATCAGCAACAGTGTCAGCAACAGTGTCAGCAACAGTGTTATCAACAGTATCAGCAACAGTGTCATCAACAGTATCAGCAACAGTGTCATCAACAGTATCAGCAACAGTGTCAGCAACAGTATCAGCAACAGTGTCAGCAACAGTGTCATCAACAGTATTAGCAACAGTGTCATCAACAGTATCAGCAACAGTGTCATCAACAGTATCAGCAACAGTGTCAGCAACAGTATCAGCAACATTGTCAGCAACAGTATCAGCAACAGTGTCAGCAACAGTGTCATCAACAGTATTAGCAACAGTGTCATCAACAGTATCAGCAACAGTGTCATCAACAGTATCAGCAACAGTGTCAGCAACAGTATCAGCAACAGTGTCAGCAACAGTATCATCAACAGTGTCATCAACAGTATCAGCAACAGTGTCATCAACAATATCAGCAACAGTGTCAGCAACAGTATCATCAACAGTATCAGCAACAGTGTCAGCAACAGTGTCATCAACAGTTTCAGCAACAGTGTCATCAACAGTATCAGCAACAGTGTCATCAACACTATCAGCAACAGTGTCAGCAACAGTATCATCAACAGTATCAGCAACAGTGTCATCAACAGTGTCAACAACAGTGTCATCAACAGTATCAGCAACAGTATCAGCAACAGTATCAGCAACAGTGTCATCAACAGTGTCAACAACAGTGTCATCAACAGTATCAGCAACAGTATCAGCAACAGTATCAGCAACAGTATCAGCAACAGTATCAGCAACAGTGTCATCAACAGTGTCAACAACAGTGTCATCAACACTATCAGCAACAGTGTCATCAACAGTATCATCAACAGTATCAGCAACAGTATCATCAACAGTGTCAACAACAGTGTCATCAACAGTGTCAGCAACAGTATCATCAACAGTATCAGCAACAGTGTCAACAACAGTGTCATCAACAGTATCAGCAACAGTGTCAGCAACAGTATCATCAACAGTATCAACAACAGTGTCATCAACAGAGTTAGTGAAAGTAAATATTACGATAGTTAATAATACTTAAAACTTATTGGTAGCATTTAGTTGTTATTATTGTTATTATTATTATTATTATTATTTATTATTATTATTATTATTATTATTATTATTATTATTATTATTATTATTACTGCTAATACTACTACTACCATTAATAATAATAGTAATAATAATAATATTAGTAGCAGTAGTAGTGGTAGTAGTGGTACAGGTGGTGGTAGTAGTGGTGGTAGTAGTTTTTGTTCTGGTGGTAGTTGTGGTAGTTATTAGTAGTATTATATAGTTTTGATCACACTGGTAGTCTCCCACCGAGGCTGGGTGACCTTAACAAGAAGAAACACTTTAACCATCACTCACACCATCACTGTCTTGCCAGAGTCGTGTTGACATCACAGTCCAGATGACCCTCTCTACTGCAACCTCCACCCCCCCCCCTTTCAGAATGCAGGAACTGCACTGGCACTGTATTGGCACTGCACTGGCACTGCAATGGCACTGTACTGGCACTGCATTCCCCATCTCTAGGACTTAAGTCCGGTTAACTGGACGTGAGAATTAAGTCAGGTTTACCGGACTTGAGTCCTGGAGGTGAGACGTAAGTCCGGTTTACCAGACTTGAGTCCTGGAGGTGGGATTCAGGTCCGGTTAACCGTCTTCACTACTTGTGTGGCATGATCCATACTGGTTTGCAGCTTCGTATAAATATATTTAAAAAAATGAGCCAGGTTATTTTCCCTTAGAGAAAGTAAGAAATATTTGATGACTTACCTTAATGCCCATAGCCGCCGCCACCGCCGTAGCCGCCGCCGCCACCATATCCGCCACCACCGTAGCCGCCACCGCCATATCCACCGCCACCATGGTGGCCGCCACCGTAGCCGCCGCCACCTCCACCATATCCACCACCGCCACCATGATGGCCGCCACCTCCACCATATCCACCACCGCCACCATGATGGCCGCCACCGCCACCATATCCACCGCCACCATATCCACCGCCACCATGATGGCCGCCACCTCCACCATATCCACCACCGCCACCATGATGGCCGCCACCTCCACCATATCCACCACCGCCACCATGATGGCCGCCACCACCACCATATCCACCACCGCCACCATGATGGCCGCCACCTCCACCGTATCCACCGCCGCCTTTCTTCTTCCCGAAGCCGAAGAAGCCAGGGTAGGGCATGGCATCAGTCAAAGCCAGAGCCAGAAGCAGGAAAACGAACACCCCAGCAACCATCTGACGGATGTAAACAACGTCTTTATCAACACAAGAACATATACACATACAAGACAAGTCTGTAATAGATATCAATAGATATATTTTGAGTGTGAACAAGACAGCATTCATGAAGGAATTCAGGAAACCGGTTAGCCGAGCATGAGTCCTGAAGGATGGGTGAGGATGTTACAGTCCTGGAGGTGGGAAGTACAATGCCTGTACTCTGAAGGATGGGTGAGGATGTTACAGTCCTGGAGGTGGGAAGTACTACGCCTGTACTCTGAAGGATGGGTGAGGATGTTACAGTCCTGGAGGTGGGAAGTACTACGCCTGTACTCTGAAGGATGGGTGAGGATGTTACAGTCCTGGAGGTGGGAAGTACTACGCCTGTACTCTGAAGGATGGGTGAGGATGTTACAGTCCTGGAGGTGGGAAGTACAGTACCTGTACTCTGAAGGATGGGTGAGGATGTTACAGTCCTGGAGGTGGGAAGCACAGTGCCTGTACTCTGAAGGATGGTTGAGGATGTTACAGTCCTGGAGGTGGGAAGTACTACGCCTGTACTCTGAAGGATGGGTGAGGATGTTACAGTCCTGGAGGTGGAAAGTACAATGCCTGCACTCTGAAGGATGGGTGAGGATGTTACAGTCCTGGAGGTGGGAAGTACTACGCCTGTACTCTGAAGGATGGGTGAGAATGTTACAGTCCTGGAGGTGGGAAGTACAGTGCCTGTACTCTGAAGAATGGGTGAGAATGTTACAGTCCTGTAGGTGGGAAGTACAGTGCCTGTACTCTGAAGGATGGTTGAGGATGTTACAGTCCTGGAGGTGGGAAGTACAGTGCTTGTACTCTGAAGGATGGTTGAGGATGTTACAGTCCTGGAGGTGGGAAGTACTACGCCTGTACTCTGAAGGATGGGTAAGGATGTTACAGTCCTGGAGGTGGAAAGTACAGTGCCTGTACTCTGAAGGATGGTTGAGGATGTTACAGTCCTGGAGGTGGGAAGTACAGTGCCTGCACTCTGAATGATGGTTGAGGATGTTACAGTCCTGGAGGTGGGAAGTACTACGCCTGTACTCTGAAGGATGGGTGAGGATGTTACAGTCCTGGAGGTGGAAAGTACAATGCCTGCACTCTGAAGGATGGGTGAGGATGTTATAGTCCTGGAGGTGGGAAGTACAGTGCCTGCAATCTGAAGGATGGGTGAGGATGTTATAGTCCTGGAGGTAGGAAGTACAATGTCTGTACTCTGAAGGATGGGTGAGGATGTTATAGTCCTGGAGGTGGGAAGTACAATACCTGTACTCTGAAGGATGGGTGAGGATGTTATAGTCCTGGAGGTGGGAAGTACAGTGCCTGCACTCTGAAGGATGGGTGAGGATGTTATAGTCCTGGAGGTGGGAAGTACAGTGCCTGCAATCTGAAGGATGGGTGAGGATGTTATAGTCCTGGAGGTGGGAAGTACAATGCCTGTACTCTGAAGGATGGGTGAGGATGTTACAGTCCTGGAGGTGGAAAGTACAATGCCTGTACTCTGAAGGATGGGTGAGGATGTTACAGTCCTGGAGGTGGGAAGCACAGTGCCTGCACTCTGAAGGATGGGTGAGGATGTTACAGTCCTGGAGGTGGGAAGTACAGTGCCTGCACTCTGAAGGATGGATGAGGATGTTACAGTCCTGGAGGTGGGAAGTACAATACCTGTACTCTGAAGGATGGGTGAGGATGTTATAGTCCTGGAGGTGGGAAGTACAGTGCCTGCAATCTGAAGGATGGGTGAGGATGTTATAGTCCTTTAGGTGGGAAGTACAGTACCTGCACTCTGAAGGATGGGTGAGGATGTTATAGTCCTAGAGGTGGGAAGTATAGTGCCTGCACTCTGAAGGATGGGTGAGGATGTTACAATCCTGGAGGTGGGAAGTACAATGCCTGCACTCTGAAGGATGGGTGAGGATGTTACAGTCCTGGAGGTGGGAAGTACAGTGCCTGGAGGTGGGAAATGCAGTGCCTGCAATCTGAAGGATGGGTGAGGATGTTACA